ATGATGGAATTCGTGACCGACTGAGGCGGTCCAAACGACTTTCCCAGAGGCCGTTAAAAAAACTTGACATATTCTTAAGGACTAAAGATAGTATGTCACTGTAATATATATATATATATATATGATTGTTAATTACGCATCGAAACTACTGTGTTTAATTTCATTGAATTTATTTTCGTTAAAGTAATTATCAAGTGTGTCGTTTATTTCCAAAATTAATTAATCATCGATGCAAGCAAACATATTTCATCAGGTTAAAGAAAAATAGCCAAAATATGGCGTTGAATGAATAAAAGGTTGTACAAATGGAAGTGACTTAAAAGAGCTAAAAGTTTAGGGTTGTGTGTTTTTTAAATTTAGTAAGAAACAGTGTTTGAATGCCCTAGTTTATCAAAATGTCTCACCCTACTAACAAGGGTAGATTGACGTTATCTCTCATCACCATGTTTGCTGGTCAGTAACGCCATCTCTCCCCCCTTTTGTGATATTAGGCTTTCCTATGTTAGTGGTATGTACGAATGCTGTTTTAACCCTAGCCCTGTGTTTCACACCTTGTTGGAATACACTGTGTCTACTTGTTCCATGTTACAAGTAAATTAGACTGCTAAGGCTTTTGTACTGTGGGTCAGACAACCAATTAGTATATCACACTACTGTAAAGTTAACTGATGGTATAAGTTATAAGATACCGGCCAGATGGTGTGTGGTTTAGAGGTGATAAGGACATATGGATCACAGAATATGGAAGAAGAGTTTTGGGTTACAAAACATATGAGTAAGACAATAAGTGAGTAGGAAAACACCTTATTTGAATGCTAGTAAAAATAAAAAAACATTTTTAAGCTAGTAGTTTAATTTATTTAGTTATTTGAACACAAAAATATTGGTGCAAGGGGAGCGCCAGATATATATGCGCCACACAAAAAATGTCATTTCATTTGATCTTGTAAGGGTTATGATACTGCCTGGGTGCCCAGACCGAAGCAGGTGGTTTTCCCTATGAGGTCACACCCGGAGCCTTTGACCTAAAGGCCTAATCCACAAGGTAGTGGAGTATCGTAAGGAGATGGGAAGGACACACAATAATTTAGAATTCTATGAGCCTCTTATGACCAGTTGTAGTTGAGCAGCATCCATAGGGTCAGTGCGTTGTCTTTATGGTTACTAGGAAGTGAAAATGTATCTTGCTAAGTGGTCATACATTTGAGGTTAGCGTATGATTCTTTATACTTAGTCAACGATCCTCGGTTATGAGATGTGGTAGTCATTGTTAGGGATAATCATGATTCATTGGGTCATGATCCAGGGTATTTCTGCGGCTCAATGTGTGCGACACCTTCAGCAGCTGTGTGGATCAGAAGAAAACCTCAAGAAACATGGTTATTTACCAGTTATGATAAGGGAATACGAAGCACACAACAAAAAGAATAAAGTATGGTGTTAAGACTGCGTCATGTATAATGTCAAATTGCAAAGACTATTTGGGTGTCGGATAATTACATCTTGTGACACGGCCACTAGTTCGAAATTGGTTAGATGCTGGGTGGACTACCGTTTAGTCGATCCTGGTTTAGGTAAGCACCATCGAGCATATGGTGAACTCCAGATTGGTCCATAAATCAGCTTGGGGAAGAATGAAATTGAGTTGGCGTCTAACCTGACTGGATATTTTCTGGTGACCTAATCCAGAGGCTTTCTTAGCGCGTGATAAGGAAAGTTGACTTTTATTTGCTTGATGTTCTCGATGTCTTTGGTACGAAATCCTGATTCCGAAGGTTATAATTACTGTTTTTGGCAAATTTCAAAGTATCACAATTTACTGTACAGATCAGGAAAAAGAAACAACCTGGTTTTGTTGACGAATCTCGAAAGCTAAACAACGAAACAAACCTTGAGTTTCAGGGTCTTCACGTGGTTAGGTCTTGGGAACTAATGCCTTCAAGACTTGTATGGATAGAAGGAATGATTCCCACAACACCATATATGTGTGCTATGCGAACATTCACAATCTTAGACATAAACAACTGAGTTAGGTGTGGTGGTGGATGAGTTATGTCACGATATAATTGTTGTCACATAGACGTGGCTCACCGTAGATATCGACTGTTCCTTAACCATTTCAGGTTTCATCTGTATTACAAGTAGTAGGGTTATAAATCACAAAGGAGAAGGAAATGTACTTAGTGGCAGAGATCACTTCTGTGTATAGATGATCACATCAGAGACGTATAGTAGTGGTGAATGCGAGGTGGTTTGTTGTATAATTAAGTCTAGACACGGATTAATGACTGTAGGGGGAATATACTATAGTTCAAGTTGCCTTGCTGATTACTTCATCTTAAGTCATATCTGTCCTTGGAGTGCAGCTGAATGTTATCTGATAATTAGAGACTTAGCATATCAACGGGACAGAGATTACAGCTTCTAGTAGATGTTTTGGTAGCAACCTGCTGCCAACCATTATTTTGTGTGCACTTGTGCAATTCTCCGCAAAAATAACAAATATTGACTTAAAACATGAACAGTCATTGATGTACCCTGTCCTTACACACCACTTAGACGATGTCATCGACATTCGGCACCTTCTTCCACTAGCAAGTAGTGATCACGCTGTGACCTATTTGACGTTTCGGACGCATGGTATACAGTACGTATCTGCTTAACCCCGTCCAAATACCTGGTGAGTTAACATTCCAGCAATCATAGACTGAGGTTTTTCAACAAACGTGTCGGTCAATCTAGATGGGCCGATCATTGACGAATGGAATAAGTTGAAAGCCACATTGGAGTCCCTAAGATCCCCACACATCCCATGGTCAGCAAGAAGGCTGTCTTATTAACCTCGATGGATTAACAAGGAGACCTTAAATCTGATGGAGCGTAGAAAACACTTCTGAGACTTATTCTTGTCGATGCGCCACGAATTACTTCAGTATAAATGCCAAAAGATAAGAAATACATTTAAAAAAACCACAGCTAGGCACCTCGCCATGTACGAAAGACAGTTGGCATACGATAGTTGTACTTGCCGAAAAGATTGTTTTCATACACTAAACGGTGAACACAGGGTAGTGATAATACCTCATAATACATCACACTATTTCAACGGAGTCTATTCTACGGGTGTTGTTAACAATGCTTGTCATAACCACACCACTGAGCTATCAGCTATAGGACCAGTACGTTTGACTGAGGAAACTGTCCTTCAACTGATCATGGACACAAGGCCTAGTAAGATAAACGGCCCTGAAGGATTACACTCACGATTAATGTCGTTCCTAACGGAAATTATTTTAAGACCACTTACAATGTTGTTCAACACGTCAATTCTCCTCACACAACTCCCTTGGAACTGGTAAGATGCCTTCGTCAGTCACATATTTAATGCGGGTTAAGTTACTAAGTCACACGGGATCTTACAATCTGTTACTTTCTGAGCAACACGGGTTTCGAGGCGAGCATTCGTGCTTAACCAACCTACTTATTACGAGAGAGAATGGGACAGCAGCCGAAGATAACGATTTCTCGGTCGAGATGTTCACTGATTTTACGAAACTTTTCCGAAAGTTTCTCACTCATGTCTTTAGCAGAAGCCCTAAAGATTCGGAGTAGCATGTAGCAAATAAGAATGGATAAGAAACGTCCCCTGTGGCCGAAGGCAGAGAGTGAAAGTACATGGGTTATTATCTCAGTGGAGGCCGGTCAAAAGTGGTGTATCTCAAGGCACCATCCTAGGTCCCCTACTTTACCTTCTTTACCTCAATGGATTACCACGAATGTTCAGGTTGTCGATATTATTGCTTGCGGATGATGTCAAAATCTGGAGATCAATAAGAGACGGGGCTGATCATTTTGATCTTCAAGCTGATATGAACGAATTAGTTAGATGGTCCCAATGTTGTAGCTTAAGATTTGGTTCTAGAGTGTGCCCATGCACATCGGTTACGGTAACTGTTACCAGTATACTATCGACGGTACATCTCTCCCATGCATACAAGAACATAAGTACTTGGAAGGAACAGTGACTCATGACATGAAAACAACTCCGCATTTCAGCGCAGCAGCTGCCAAACTTTCTGGTGCCTAATGTTTACTTAGCCGAACGTTTAAATGCTTCGACGAGATTTTCAAGTTTTATCTACCATCTACGTATCACTACACTAAGGGTACTGTATCTAGGTAGGCGGTTCATGTCTTATCAAGAATATTTACTCACTTGGACGTATTCAGCGTATGGCAACGAAATTAGTGAGGGACCTTGAAAACTGCATAAAACAAAGAGCGTGATTATGTAAATGTATTAGGAAAAATGAGTATAGAGATTTTAATGCAACCACCACCGCATGAGCCAGTCCATGGCGCATGATTAACTGGTGCGCGTTTTGTTATTCTTGAGTTCAACAGGGATCGATAATCTGTTCGATATTCAGTGACCCAACTCTCGGATGATTTGGCTACGGCTTAGTGACATTTCACTGCCCCTACACTTCCTCACGATCAGCGCTTAAATCGCCTAGATATTTCCCCCTTTTCGTATCGTAGAAAGTGAGGTGACTTTGTTTTCGCACTCAGCATATGAAATTACGAGTCGAGTGTCAATATTTCTCATCTTTCCTCTTTCTTTAACTTTAATAATTTTTGAGGCCATAAAATGAAGGCTCAAAAACCACTATCTAATAAACTCAGAGTGGGTTCCGTTTTTCTCATCGAGTTTTCAATGACTGGCATGCTTTGCTAAAAAAGGGGAACCATCCTCATAAGTGGACATCTTCAAGCAGAATCTGGATCTTTATTGGAAAACAAACTGTAGGGACTAATACAGGTCCACCAACCTACTTTCCTTACTACTGAAGACTGTAGATACAGGCGGAATGTGAGAAATGTCCTCTATTTATGCCCAAACTAAATACAAAACTACCTAAAAAAGGTGATTTAAAAAGTCTTCGGTTATTTCTGCTTGAACATAAAGGAGGTGTGGTGTTGCTTTAAAATGATCTCAGGGAAACTGGAAAACCAATCACGTTTCCAGCGCGTTACTCACTCTCAAGGTTGTGAGCCGTCATCTTGGTTCCTCCTGTTGGTCTAGTACTTTGCTGTATAAAAAAACTTTGAACATTGACGTATTACCTTTATTGAAAATTCGTCTCTATTAATCTTCTTTTCAAGATTTGTTTGAAGTGAATATCAGGCTTTCGTCAAACAATAAACACTCGATTCACACAATAAAAATGGCGTCAGGTCTTGCTAGATCAAAGCTGATGGTAACTTATATTTGTCCATCCATCTTTATTGTTTAAGAATTTTGTTTATAGGTCCCCGTGGAACCCCGTGTCACTCATCTATCGTCCTGAGTGTTCCTCCGCAAAATTTAGTCTTTCTGACTACAAGTCTTTTAAGTTAGATTCCACACCAGCAAATGAAACTGAATGCAGTCGTGATGATGCACTTAGATACCTCGAGAGTCTTCACCGTATTCGTAGAATGGAAACGGCATTAGGTAACATGTATAAAGAAAAGCTTATTCGTGGTTTCTGTCATCTATACTCGGGTCAGGTTTGTTTTAATTTTAATCGTATTTCTATGTTTCTGCTCTTTGATTCTTGTTATTATTCTTTAAATGGAATTACCCACTTTATGACTTTCCTGTTGAGACACTAACTCTTCAGACGTGCTATCCATTCCTTACATATACGGAGTGAAATAAATTCGTGTTGGTATTTGCCATTTATTTTCAACAGGATCTTCGGAAGTGTGTTGTGAATAGCCTTTTCAGGTATTGGTGATTGAATACATCCTTTATGACTTACGGACGGATGATTAATCGTGTTATTGTTGTGATCATCTTGCTCATAGAATATTTTGAAAAACAAAAATAAGTGCTTGTTCGTACACATACCTACTGATATCTGTTTTGACTGTAAGGCAATTTCCAACCATAATATTGTTTGCATATGGTTGCCACATGCTTTTACAGCTTTTCATGATCTGTTTGTGTTTTTTTCTTCCTTTGAATTCTCTTATTACTTGTGGGTTTTTTCCGACTTGACAATGTAAGGTTTTATGTAAGGAAATTAGGCTGAATCAGTAAACTGAAAGGTTGAGATATTAAAAACCAAACATTTCTATTGGCGACAGAATAGTTATGGTAAAAGTATATTTTTTTTACAAAATTTAACGCTTGTCCTAATCAAATGAAGTTAAATCTGGCGTTCAACAAGTGACTCGAGTCAACTCCGTCGACTGAAACAGATGTGTCAAAATTTTTATTGATTATAGAGAATTTTTTCAATTAGTCTTTCCTTAACCTACATCTTTTTAGCTCCTTTTAAGTTGACATGAGTTAAATATTCTTAAGGACTGATACACGGTCACCTGCCTCAATCAGTCAGCTTTAACATCAGGTTCATAGTTGTGATGTAAGACAGGTACTTTTCACTGACAAGAAATATATTGCACTATAAAAGATGAAGATATATTCAAACTATTATATCACTGGATTACAGTGCGAGATGACTTTTTCGAAGGATTGAGTTTATGAGTAGTAATACGTTAAAAGATTATTCACAAACTCGGAACAAATTTACACATTACACAAACTTATTGGGGTGTTTTTTTGTACTGTGGGATTTACTTCAAGATATCTGCTTTTATCCATACATACATTTATTTTTCAAAAGCATTTTGTGCAGTATTATTAAGTAATCTTTTAGGGAAAACGAATACATACTAGGCAGTGTTAATTTATCTCGTCGAGTATTTAATTTATAGGTACGATATACACTTATGTGACCTAAATGAATGTGCTTCATCACGTGAGATCAAAAGGAAGCTTATAGGTATAACTGTTACCACTCTCAAGCCTCAGCACACAAACTTGTGAATTAAAGATGTGAATATTTTTGCTTAAAAATATGAAGGCACTTATATGTTTTCAAGCTTTCTTTTGGCAAATAATTGCTCCCAGTTTTTTTCACTTAATCTTTAGGAAGCAGTTGCAGTCGGTATTGAAGCTGCTTTACAGCCAGGCGATACTATTATCACTGCTTATCGCTGCCACGGCTTTACAATGACTCGCGGTGTTCCTATCCACAATATAGTTGCAGAACTCGCAGGAAGGAAGACTGGATGCACAAAAGGTTTAGGGGGCAGTATGCATCTTTACGCGAAAGAGTTCTATGGCGGTAATGGCATCGTTGGCGCCCAAGTATATTTGTTTGTTTTCCGTATAATATTTTGACTTCATGATTTCAATTAGGGATTCTTCCTATCATCTCAACCTTTATTTTCAGAATAAATGTATTTACGCTATGTATGTGTGCCACTTCTTGTCTTTGTATATTGATCACATCAATTATTACTAGTATTAGGAATTAAACGGTTTCTTGAGTCATTGTTTGATATAATGAAAATAAGATTGTCTTTACATCACAGTACACAGTTGTTTAGACTAAGGCAATAACTTATAAATTCAGTTTACACTTTAACTGATGGAACCCTATACCAATCCTTCATTAAAAAGCCATATTGGGCACCCGGGCAGTATTCCAGCCTTTTCACATATCAAATGATTTGTGTGGCACATATGTATTTGGTGCCTTCTCGTACCAATGCTTATGTGTTCAAATAAATAAATAAGGAATCAGAGTGTTGTATATTTTCTCAGTAAAGCTAGTTTGTACATCGTATTAGCATTTTGTTATGATTTGTGCTTGACAGGCTCCACTGCAAACGAAAAATTATTTCGGTCACTACCGTGTCCGTAACAAAAACTTTATTAGGTAAACTTATCTTCTCATCAGTAGTGTATATACAAAGAAACTAAAAAAATCAGGTCAATATGGTGACTAAGTTTCTTAAGCTAAAATATTTGTCGAATAGCCACTTCAGAAGTTTTTTTGAAGCTTAGACGTTTCAGGTTGTCTAGTTGTGATTCCATCAGAAACACACCTTCATAGGTGCTAGTAGCCTGTAGTGTCGGTCGATATGTCAAGCCCACATACCTTATCCTAGATTCTGGACAAGTCAATTTACCTGTCCATCATGAGTCACGTTTTGACCTTGTTAATTATTCACTTATCAAACCTGACTGTTTTTATATGAGGGTATGTGTGTGTACACTTCTCCTATCCATCACATGTCTGTAACTTAATTTTTTATCTGACCATAAATATTGATTAACGCTTGATAAAAGCGAGTTGGCTTACACGCCATCTCCAATGCGCGTCATTTTCTCTTCGCTCTCTTCTATCTGCTCCATCCCTCTGATTTCCTGTCTAGATCAATGAATGTGCAATGTATTCGAAATCCATTCCCGTATTTGACTTATTTAACTTCGTTATTCATCAACGCGGATTAAGTCGTGTATTACATACGAGGATAGACGGGATGTATATTTTGACAACAATCATCATACGATCTAATTGGAGTCGAATCTTGGCCTCTATAAGCCAACTGTCTGGAAATTGTTTAGTCTGTCATCTGAGTTCTTTTTGTGTACTTCATAGTTAACGAAACTTCTTCACCAATAGTTCATTTTCCGTCTTCCCTGATTTCGTGACCTCATGCTAGTAGTATTGTATATAACTTCAAGTCTGTCTATAAAACGTATTTTATTGATAGAGTTATTTGGTTTTGAGTACCAAGTTTGGTCATAAGAATTTCTCAACATTTTGTGGTTACAGTATCATAGCTACTAGGTTTATCTCTTGTTTTGCTTTTTGGAGTTATTATCAACTAGAAAAGTATATTTGTATTCTCTATCTACCTTCCAGGTTCCTTTGGGTGTTGGAATAGCATTACGTATGAAACATCGTGGGGAAAAGTTTGTCTCTGTAACTCTTTATGGAGATGGTGCAGCTAACCAGGGACAGGTGTTTGAGGCCTTTAATATAGCGAAGTTATGGAATCTTCCTGTGATTTTCATTTGTGAAAACAATAAATATGGTATGGGTACATCTGTGCAGCGCTCTTCGGCCAATACTAGTTACTATACTCGTGGAGATTACATTCCTGGATTGTGGGTTCGTCTTCATTTGTTTCCAAGACATTATTGCACAGTCGTTTTTTATTTAACACTATTAGCTGTCCTTTGTTTAATTATAACACACTTATTTTATTTCCACTCTTTTGCATTTTATTGTAACAGCGTAGTTTATGCTTCAGTAGCACTAATTTTAAGTTGTCATTCCTTTTAGTTCAATTTTCTCACGGTACTAGTGTTTTTAAGATCGCGTAGTTGTTCATACTATAAAGTTTTCACAGTTAATATGTCTGAGACCCAGCTCTGAAAAATTATTTCGAAGTACTCATAAAGTGAGTGAGTACTTCATATAGTGATATGTCACGACACACTTGGTAAACTATCAATTTTGTGTTCTCAGTCTAGTTGATCAGACAGTTAATCTACTTACAAATTTTTTTATTATTTGCCAGGTTGATGGTATGGATATACTTACTGTTAGAGAAGCCACACGTTTTGCTGCTGATTGGTGTCGTTCTGACAAAGGACCAATACTGTTAGAAACAGAGACTTATCGTTACCATGGTCATAGTATGAGCGACCCAGGCACTAGTTATCGTACACGTGAAGAAGTTCAGTCGATGAGGCGTGGACGAGATCCTATCGCTTTATTCCAGAAGAGCATTGTGGACAATGGGCTATGTACACAGGATGAGGTTAAGGTAAAGTATTTTTGTGAAAACAGCTTAAAGGTTTACAAATTTATATGCTCTTAAGAGTTTTGGAAGTTTTTTTGACTTGATGCAGGGTTATGTAAGCCCATTATTCAGAAATGTTTACTTAAAATTAAACTGAACATGACGTGATTTAAGTAAACGGTGATGTAATATGATTGTTATAATTAGCACACATTGTATGTGATGTCGTTGGTTTTGATAGTTCGCACTTTTCTGTTTGTTAAAAATATAACATTTATACTTCGAGAGCATCGGATTATACCACATAAATATATAACAGCATTGTTGTAAATGAAGGTGTTACTTATTTACAGTTTCCCTGAATAGGACTTTTGACTCCACTATCGGCGTTATTTTTTCTGTTTGGGTCCTTACATAAACGTCCTTTCAAATTATTCTGTCAATTTTACTTAATCAGTTAGTTCTGTTAGTAGTGAATGTATAGCAAAATGTTGAAAAATGTCACTAGCACTGGTTTCGCAAGTAAGTTTCATTTGCCGAATATTAATTTTAGGCATGTACATGGTGTTATGACCAGATGTATGTTGCGTTGTGAAGCTAGTGACAATTCTTTTTGAATTTGCTAAGCTTTTTAGGCTTAAACTAGAACTCCGTATACCGGATGTCTTACTATCGGATACACCATTTACACATATTACTATTTTTATTGGTAAGATGAAATTGTGTAACAATGTTGTTTGTAAAATGATATTTTAAACTTTTAGTCTCAGAACAGTAGTTTTTTCCTTAGCAGTTTATGCTTGTAACACGGTCTTGAAAAATATACGTTGCTTATATATGATGAAACCACCTATTATATAATATCAAGCTCAGGTTTAGGGTATTGGGTAAAAGTGGTAAAGGTGCTGATACAAATATTCATCAACTAAGGTGGTTGAAACGCTATTTTTCCAACGGCTATGGAGAAGTTAAAAGAGATTTAAGGAGGCAAACCAGGAAATTACACTAGTCTGTATTGTAATTCATCATTTGCTTCTATTGTGTAGGATGATGTGGATTCCTTAGTTGGGATCTTCACGTTAGTCGTGATTGATGATTGGAGACCTTTAGTAATTTGCATCAAAATCGGTTGCAGTAGCGCATTCAGTTGTTCTTTTTTCCTGAAAATTTGAGCTAAGTGTTATTCAAAACTTTTCAATACAACGGCTTCACGTATTACTTTTAAATCATTATCTTTGTATTTAGTTCTCGTCTACTTTTTATTTCAGTATTTCAACCTCTATGGTTACCATCTTATTAACTTTCTATCTTTGCCGATTGACGTATGTCGGCTCCTGCTTTGTCTTCAAATTATGTTCTGTAGTCAGTCGTCTACAACGTAGGATCAGGCACATATATGCACAACACCAAGTTTCCACACCTCATTAGCACAACGAGATGGACACCGAATTCATAGAAAGTCACTTCAACGGTGGTAATATATAAAAGAAAGATTTTATATAGGGATATAATACAGGGAGAAAGAATCAGTTGGCAGAAAGAAAGGTATATGGTAATTTTAACCTCATCGTTTAAGGGAAGGCAAAGTGTATACACCTACGTCATTGTGATCGATCAAGCGCCAAGCCACACAGAGTCTCCAACCATTGGTTACGATAGTCGCGCGAAAACCAACCAAGTAGTCTGCATCTACCAACATGGCTCAGATTAGAAGTTATTGACCTCAAGGACTGATGCCATGTTTTGGTTTGGCCTTCCCTAACTTTTTCTCATCTGTCTCCAACACTAGCCAGCATTGCGCGTCGTGGTAATCGGTGGTTAGGCATTCATAATACGTTGCTCAACCATCTCAGTCGATGAAGATCCACAACCTCATCAACTGATTTACCATCATTCCCTAATACTCTGAGTCTAACCTCACTATTACTTACGTGGTGATCCCAGCAAATGCGAGCAATATATCGGTGATCGAATACTAGTACCTTACGAGTATCTTCTACTCTTAATGACCACTTTTCACAACCGTAAAGTAGAACAGAGGGAACTGCTGCTCAGTATGCTCGTCCCTTAATCGATGGACGGATAACTCGCCTTCGCCAGAAGTTACGATCCATATAAGTAAAAATCCACCTAATAATTCTTTCTCATTCTTTATAACAGAAGTAGTTTTTAATCAGTATTATGTTTACTGTATTATATTTTTTAATTCGTTTGTAGGAGATCGAAAAAAGGGTCCGAATTGAAGTAGATAAAGAAGTAGAGAAGGCGATGAGCGACTCAGAACCACCACTAGAGACGATGTTTGGAAATATTTATCATGGGATACCTCCAAACTACAAGATTCGAGGTTGCGATCTAAAAACTTGGGGTTCACCATTTGTCACTAAGTGGTGAGGTAGCTTCACGTTTTCTGAATTTTGAAGAAGCTGGTCATTATATACTATCTAATTTATTAGTCAGGCTTTTAGTATTTTCTAAGGTACGAATAATCACAAATATTTGATCCTTTCATAACAACCTGTGTACCTATGAATAATTTTATAATTTATATCCTCTAAAATACAAACTTATACTATAATAATGAGTTCATCATCCGTATTTTGCGGTCTAGGATGTTTTTTTGTAGGGGATAAATCAATGTTTTACTTATATTATTAAATTATTCCAGTGTATATAAGCCCGAAATGCAACAAATCTATGCAAAGTATAAACTTACAAAATTTTTTATTACAATAATACCATTTAGTAAGGTATAGTTTCGTTACGTCTTTGATCAGGGATCAGGTGCATATTACTTCTTCAACAACATCTACATACATGCTGTACACTGACCGTTGCTGCTACCTTGACGTGGTGGTCGGGCTTGCCTATCGTGATGATCCAATCGAGCTATGCTGGCTGGAACAATCGTTCCTCAAGGTCCTACCATGCCAGACAGGTCGGTTGAAGAGCGGTGAGATTAAAAGCAGCAATCCCAAGGTCCGAAGGCGAAGTCGTACTGCTGACTGTACAGAGGTGTGAAAGCAGTAAGGTGTTTCCTTCAGACAACCAGCATGACAGCGATGCTGCCTTCCCACAAGGAGGGGTGGGGTTAGAAAAGGTCGACCCTAAAAATGCACACCTCACCTTATCCCACGGATTTCCGTCTCCGGCGGTAAGGACTTTTGAAGAACGGAGCTAACACATCAAAAATCCCCCACAAAAAGGCCGTGCGTGACCGGCCTCAAGCAGATGTCCCTTGGGCTCTGCGGTCACGCTCCCAGGTCGTTAAGACCAACACTAATCCAACTTCTTTTTCAGGTCCCTCAAGAAATACCCTTCCACGGTGTGGGCAGCCGGGAAGTGATCAGTCAGTCAGTCAGTCAGTCACAACGTAGAACTTCGTACGTACGTACATCAGTTCGAGTTGCCATACCACATTAGCACACAGATGCAGTTGTCGATTCAAATCCCATAGTGGAAGAATTAGTAAGAGTATAAGCAGTAATCGGAAAGATTAGAGTTTGAAGATGTTATTGAAGGAGTATAGTACAGTGAAATATATTTGGAAGGAGAAAAACATAAAGACATGAGAAATTCAGAAGATTAGAATTTGGTAGAACACAAAGAGTGGATGCATCTTCGCCATTGCAAACGATTTTGAGCCATGTCATTCAAGGTCTCTAACCATCGGTTGCTATCATCTCGCGAATCCCAACCAGGTAGTCTACACTTACCAACATGGCCCAGTCCACTTGTCAGTGACTTCATTGATTTGTGCCACGTTTTGGTCTGGCCCCCCCTAGCTTTCTTCCAACCTACTCCTACACCATGAAACATTGCACGTCGGGGCAGTCGGTGGTCGGGCATACGTAACACATGTCCCAGCCATCTCGACTGATGAAGTTTCACTACTTCATCAATCGATTTGCCATCCCTACCTAGTACTCGTTTCCTAACAACTGCATTACTTACCCGGTGGTCCCAGGATATACGAGCAATGCTTCGAAGACACCTATGATCGAACACTAGTAGCCTACGAATATCCTCTACTCTTACCGGCCATGTTTCACTTCCATAAAGTAGGACGGAACGAACTGCTGCACAGTAAACCCGTCCTTTGGTTGCTAGACGGATATCTCGCCTACGCCACAAATGATGCAAGTTGGCAAACGCTAGACGAGCCTTCTGTATCCGTGCTGAGATTTCGTCAAACACCAGACCACAAGGGCTGATGAGACTCCCAAGATAAGTGAAGTGGTCTACACGCTCAACTACTTCACTCCCTATCATTAGTTCAGGTGTCGCTGCAACCCAATCCTGAAGTAACATTTTGCACTTCGAGGGAGAGAATCGCATCCCGAACATGCCTGCATTGTTGCTTATGGTGGTCAGAAGACTCTGCATTTTGTCAGCGTCTTCACCGAGTAAAACTATGTCGTCGGCGTATTCTAAGTCAACAAGTGAGCCTCCCGGTAAGAGTTCAACTCCTGGAGGCTTAGCTGATGAAAGTGCTGTCTCTAAAAGTATGTCAATGACAAAGTTAAACAAGAATGGGGAGAGTGGACAGCCCTGACGAACTCCACTTGTGGTAATCAGTTCTGATGACAATTCGCCATAGGCTCTAACTCGACCAGTTGTGTTCGAGTAGAGAGCCTTTATGAGGTTAATGTACTTCTTTGGTACTCCTTTCAGTGACAAACATTGCCATAGAACCTCACGATCAACAGAGTCAAATGCCGCCTTAAGGTCAAGAAATACTACTATTGTGGGACGTCTGAATTTGTGTCTATGTTCTAGAACCTGACGTAGGGTGAATATCTGGTCTATGCAACCACGTCCAGGTCGAAAACCAGCCTGGTTTTCTCTAGTCTGCTCTTCACGAGCTTTGGTTAGGCGACCTAGTATTATTGAAGCTAATATTTTAGACACTATATTAGTCAAACTGATCCCTCTGTGATACTAGCCCTCATACCCTTAACTGCACACAAGACCAAGTTGGTCGCTTTCAAATCCTTCCTACACCTAATAACTCTGTTATCTCCACGACTAACCCTTCCCACGTCCTTTTATCACCTCGCACCGCTAGGGCAAACGATTCGAGTACACAGAACGTTATTCCTGGTCTCCTGAAACCACGCTCTAAACTACATATAGGAACTTTTAATGTCCGAACATTGTGCCAAATAGGACAACAGGCTTCCTTAGCTAGGACTCTAGAATCTTACACCATCGATGTGTGCTGCGTCTCCGAAACGCGCATACAAGATCCGAGTAGTGTCATTCATTTGACCGCACCTAATCAAAATAAAGTTTCATCTCGATACACGCTTCGTGTATCTGGAAGCCCTGATGCTGCTTCCCGTGGCCTCGCTGGAGTAGGTATAGCATTAAGTCCTAGGGCAGAACTAGCTCTTTTAGACTGGATACCAGTAGACAGTCGTCTATGCGCTGTCCGACTAAACGGATCAGTAAGGACCCGGAAAGATAGGGAAACTCGTCGTTGCCTCTTCGTCGTCTCTGCCTACTCTCCCACTGACTGCAGCTCAGACGATATAAAAGATGAGTTCTACAGGAAACTTTCTGACCTTCTCCGAGAAGCTAGGCGTTCTGATGTAGTAATAGTAGCAGGTGACTTTAATGCTCAAGTAGGTAAACTAAGTGAAAGGGAAGGACACCTGGGTGGATCTTATGGTGTCATGGCGAAAAGAACAGATAATGGCGACCGTCTGTTGCAGCTATGCTCAGATAACCGCCTATTTCTTGCAAATACTAACTTTAAGCATAAGGAAAAACATCTTTTGACATGGCGACCCCCGAATTCGTCCCAACGTTGGACCCAATTAGATCACATCGCTATCAGCCACCGATGGAGGGGCTCGATAGAAGACTGTCGCTCATTCTGGGGCACATGTTTGGATTCAGATCATGCTCTAGTGCGAGCACGTATCTGTCTGCGACTTACTGGTCGTAGGAAAGACACTGCAGGGAAGCCTCTAAGGGTTCTACTTAATGATAGGCAAGCTAAGAATATATTTCAGGAACAACTAGGAAAACAGTTAGGCAGCCATGTAAGTTGTGTCCACCCCGAGGCAGCGTGGAATGACATCCGAAAAGCTGTGGAAACAGCAGTGATATCTGCTAGTAAGGTAAACCATAACGTTAGGGAGAAACAATGGATCTCGGCAGCATCTACCGCACTGATAGATGCTCGTAAACTCATCCCACCTGGCTCTGAGCATAACGAAGAGCGGAGTCAACTTAAGCGCAGGCTTATAAGAAGCCTACGTAATGATCGTGAACAGTGGTGGGTAGCGAAAGCAAGAGAGATGGAAAAGGCAGCGTCAATAGGTAACAGTAGGCAGCTATTCAGACTCGTTAAAGAAACCGGTATTAGGAACCCGAATATCAGTGAAACCATCTCAGATAAAGATGGGCATATTATTCATTCTCAATCCAGGAGATTGGATCGATGGGCAGAACACTTTAGGGATCAGTTCAACCGGCCTTCAGCCACACTTCAATTACCCACGATCCCCAGTCGTCCTGAATGGCAAATTGATGTAAGTCCTCCAACCCTCTGTGAGGTTGAAAAAGCTATAGGAAATCTGAAGCGAGGGAGAGCAGCAGGCCCTGACAGGTTGACCCCTGAGATTTTTAAGGATGGTGGTCCAGTACTAGCAGTGAGACTGACTGAGGTCTTAGGTAGAATCTGGGAACTGGACGTAATTCCATCTGACTGGTCCCAATCACTGATTGTGCCAGTCTATAAGAAAGGACAAAAGTCCTCTTGTGACAATCACAGAGGGATCAGTTTGACTAATATAGTGTCTAAAATATTAGCTTCAATAATACTAGGTCGCCTAACCAAAGCTCGTGAAGAGCAGACTAGAGAAAACCAAGCTGGTTTTCGACCTGGACGTGGTTGCATAGACTAGATATTCACCCTACGTCAGGTTCTAGAACATAGACACAAATTCAGACGTCCCACAATAGTAGTATTTCTTGACCTTAAGGCGGCATTTGACTCCGTTGATCGTGAGGTTCTATGGCAATGTTTGTCACTGAAAGGAGTACCAAAGAAGTACATTAACCTCATAAAGGCTCTCTACTCGAACACAACTGGTCGAGTTAGAGCCTATGGCGAACTGTCATCAGAATTGATTACCTCAAGTGATGTTCGTCAGGGCTGTCCACTTTCACCATTCTTGTTTAACTTTGTCATGGAGATGCTTTTAGAGATAACACTTTCATCATCTAAATCTTCAGGAGTTGAACTTTTACCAGGAGGCTCACTTGTTGACTTAGAATACGCCGACGACATAGTTTTACTCGGTGAAGACGCTGACAACATGCAGAGTCTTCTGACCACTATAAGCAACTATGCAGGCATGTTCGGGATGCGATTCTCTCCCTCGAAGTGCAAAATGTTACTTCAGGATTGGGTTGCATCGACACCTGAACTAATGATAGGGAGTGAAGTAGTTGAGCGTGTAGACCACTTCACTTATCTTGGGAGTCTCATCAGCCCTTGTGGTCTGGTGTTTGACGAAATCTCAGCACGGATACAGAAGGCTCGTCTAGCTTTCGCCAACTT